ACGTGGTGGAACTGCTTCTGAGTCCATACATAGTGGCAAAACTAGTCAACGGAGAAACGTGTTGGGATACAAGCATGACGTGCCGCGTATTGTCATCTTTATGGGGAACGTCAAGAACCTGTGGCTTTCACCTCCATCAGGTAGTGGTGCTGGAGAGCACTCTGTCTCAGAGACATCCGCTCTGCTCGGCTCATGTCTTCTTCCCTTCTTGCTCCATCATTGTATACATATTTGCTGCCATTTGTATGTTTCTCTGTGAGTTTTTCAGCTTAACTGCTCTTTTCCTCACGAGTGCTTTTCTGGTCTTGGCTATGACGATCTTATCATGGATAGTGACTTTCAGAGCTGCGGCTGCTGCACAGTTAGACAAACTGGAGAAGCCAGATTTGACAGTATTGGATATTGCTATATTCATGATGGTCCTGTATTCGCTGTGGGTCATTTTCTGGCTTGAACTGGTGTATCTCTGGGTTCTGTGGATGATGTGTGCCTCTCTCATGAGTTTGAGAGTCATCTTTGACCCCCTCCTCTGTGTGCTGGTCTGCAGGGAGAATCTCAGAGTGTTTCACTCAAGGTTTAGCACTGAGCCAAGGCCAGTTTAACCTGAACAGAGAGTTCTAACATGATATGCATGATAAAAGTCTTCTCATAATCATGGCAATTCTCTTTTTACAGTCGCCTAAGCATTAGCGTTTGTACTGCACTCTTGCTGGGTTTATATCCAGAACTTAAGTGACTGTAAAATAAGTTGTTACTGGGATTTCTTTTCTTAAATGTCAATGCTGGAGCCCTTTCTGTAGAACTTACTGTACTGTGTGAAAAATGAACGCTGGGATGTTTCAGTGTAGACTGATAGTGGCTGAAAGGGTAGTGATATTATATCTTCATTGCTTGATCATTATTCTTCATTATTCATTTGCATCTTATTCATATTTTTGTTTTCTACATTTTATCTGATTCACCTCACTGGTGTCTGGCTTTTTTACATTTCGAAAGCAAAAATGGATAAAAGGAAGTCTTTTCTTCTGCCCTTTCTACATTCTTGGAACTATATTGTCAACTGATTTGTTGTTGTTGTTTTTTTCAGTGTTTTCAATTATAGAATAAAAAATAAATGCATTGACTGGTCACAATGCAACAACATCACTCACTAAACAAATTTACTTCAAAAATGCAGCTTTTAAGAAGGCTGTAAGTAGTGATTGAAGACATGAGGCTTTCTGAATATTTTAACCTCTTATTCTCCAGGGTATATTTTGGTTTTTCCATCTGAATTTACATGACCAAGTCGTAAGGCAAATTATTCAGTAACTGCATGAAATAAATGTAAATTTTTAATTAATTAATTATTTTTTTGTAAAAGCTCCCCTCAAATAAACAGAACATGTGTTTTATGATCATAAACATGTTGCTATATGCTTACAATTTACTGCTGAAAGCCAAAAATCTGAGACACTCTTTGTATTATTTTATAAAAATAATATATATATATATATATATATATATATATATACACTATACATATATAATAGTATATATAATAGTATATATACTATGGATAAATGTTTATTTCAATGTCATAGCGTGATTGACAGGCATGTGATGTGGATCAAATGACGGACAGTCCTGTCTCTCTAGGAGAGGACACGGCCATAAGGTGATCTACAACAGCTCAGGTGTGCCTTTATCTTTGGACTGGAATGGAATTGAATGATGATCTTCTTTTGCCTAAGCAGACTCACTTCCACTGACATGCTTGGGAAGGCAAAAGCTGGGGGCCTGATTCAGATAGACTCTTCCGCAGTACACTCTCCTTCCACTGAGGTGTCGAGATCCTACATCCAAGAAGCGTTGTGTCTTTAAGCATTAAGATTAAGTGACCCTTATTATTCCCACAACGGGAAAATTTCACCTCTGCATTTAACCCATCCATGCAGTGAAACACCACATACACACTAGTGAACACACACACACTAGGAGGCAGTGAGCACACTTGCACGGAGCGGTGGGCAGCCCTATCCACAGCGCCCGGGGAGCAGTTGGGGGTTACGTTCCTTGCTCAAGGGCACTTCAGTCACGTACTGTCGGCTGAGGGGATCGAACCAGCGACCTTTCTCACACGGCTGGTTCCCTACCCTCCAGCCCACGACTGCCCCCAAATGTAAATGTTCACCACTAACGGTGTGTCAGTACACATGTTTCTTAGTCCAACACCGGGAATCATTTCTTAGTTTTGTTCCAGTTCCAACAGCTGTGCATCAGGTCGGTCTCAGTCCGCTTCGCTACAAACTCTGGTCTTCTGGATTTAAAATCAAAGTGGATGCAGGCTAGTAGAAGTACATGTGGTGGAGCAAAGGAACACCTATATCCTATAACACCTATAACACCTATGTTATATCCAACTGCAGTTCCTTTTTACCCTATGTTTTGAGCTGTCTGGCTACAGAGCCAGTGCTTGGGTTAAATGGGAATCCTCAGGTGAGATGAGTGGACCCCCAGCTTACACTGACACACTTTAGCTTAGAATACCTCACTTCCATGCTGGTTAATTGCAAAATATAGTCATTAGGCTATTGACTCTAGCTATCCAACCTCCATAGACAGGATGCTTTGTGTTGGTAGGTACACTGTTAGAAATAAAGGTTCTGGCACTTCAGGTGTCAGAACTGCTGGACTATTTAAGGTGGAACGGGAAAGTTAGCTAGCTAGCTACCGAGACATTATCATACTTTTAGCAATTTTTTATGCTTGTTATTAAGAAAACGACCATAATATATTGAAACGACATTAAACTAAGATAATACAATGGTTATCGTAATTTTTAACGGAGAAAATACTTACATTTGTGGGTTTCTTTGGTCGCTCGCGCAGCCATCTTGCCGGTTTTTCTTTTTTTTCCGTATCACTCTGTTTGGAGTCTCTAAAAAACCTCCTTCCCCCTACCCCTCTATCTCAACAAAAATTGGGACACCCTAATCCTAGATGTGAACGCGCAAAACGGAGGGCTAAGGGCTAAGTGGTAGGGGCAAGGGGTGGGATTGGGCCAAAGTCTAACTGAATGATGTACATCAGATGCTGTGGCCTTCCCAGTTACCATATCAAAATACAATTTTGTTGAGATAGAGGGGTAGGGGGAGCCCTATACCTACTTATACAATCTTTCCCAAGGGGCATTGAAGCCACTCTGGCAGCTCATGGTGGCCCAACATCTTACTGAGACACTTTATGATGGTTTTTCCTTTAATTTGTCGCCCCCATGCAAGTCCTCACTGTTGCACATGGAAAGTGGCATAAAGGTTATAAAACTAGTACTGGAAAAGTTTTAAATTACATGTTCAGGTACTCAAAGTCTTTAAGTCTTTAGGTCAAGACCCCCTGCCCTGCACAGTGTTAACTATTCCCTGCCTCAATACACCCAATTTAGCACATCGGCCAATTGTCAAGTCCTTCATCAGCTGGATCAGGTAGGTGGGGTCAGGGAAACTTAAAAGCATTCGGGGCTGGAGGGTCCCAGTACTGGACTTGGGAGCCATTGGTCTGGAGCACAGGTTCTGGCCCACAGTGTTAATGTTTTCCCTTCTCTAACACACTCTCTTCTACTTCAACTTAGAAAAGACTCGTTAGTTTGGTGTGCTGGGAACCAGGAAAACACTAAGCTGTTATTTATGGAGGGTACAGTCAGTTGCTCTGTATTGAACTTGATGACATTAAACTACATGTGGTAGCAGAGTGTATGATGGCAGAGGATGTGGTAGAAGATGATGACTGTTATATATTTAGATGTCCAAGTAAAACACAACACACCACCAAACAGCCCTCAGTCCACACAGCAATGGCAAATTAGCAGTGACCTTTAAAGCCTTTTCCTTCGGCCAAAGATTAATGGTCTACGTGGTTTGTGCCTTTGCTCACTAGGGAACTTCCACCAACCAAAATGGACAGAGTAAGGGGCAGTCCAGGACTAAGCTCATCTTCTACAGTGTCTCTGATTTAGAAACAGCATTTTTTTTCCCTTTCTCATCCACACAGGTGCATAATTATCATCACTCATCTTCCTGTATTCATGTGTTTGTTTGAAAGACCAACATAGGAGTTGACTGTCATATTTTGGCTGGTTGGACTCCACACCAACTTAATGATTGTAGGGTCTATTATTTTGCTCGTGCTGATTAATTCCCTATCATAAAGCATTAAAGTGATGTGTTGAGGATTTCAGACATGGGGAAATACAAGAGGGACAAAAGCACACTAAAGGGCGGTACCACCTGATTATGTACAGGACAAAGTTGCAAATATCCTATTTGTACTTTGGGGCAAAATGAATGACTACAACATGAATGACTACTGTATTGGCTTTATATTTGCTCTGTAGCTCTTAATACTGCAACGAGATATAATACAGGGACATGCGCCGGCTATCAAAACCATACAAACACGATACTTGATTTTTGTAAAATCAGAACTGAGCTGCCCACTGCTGTTCAGTAGCTCCTAATTTGGCTGTCTGCCAGTAAACCACAGGTTATTGTCCGTGATGACAGTAAACTTTGCACGCCTCTGTACTTGACCAGTAATCTGTTGACGTGAGGCAAAAGTTCCATTCCATGGATTCTGATAGGGCCAAAGAGAAATGCCGCTCCTGTTTCTGGAAGAGAGCATCCCGACATGCAGAGATAACATTCATGCCTACCATCAAAGGGTTTGTCCTTCTCAATGACCACTCCCTAGCCTGGTATCTGGACTCCTACATATTTCAAAATAGAACGTATGGGATTTTAAGGCGATTTGCAGCTTTTAAGGTCAACACCTAAACCAAACTATATGCAATGAATACACACCATTGTTTTTATTCTATTTTATTTATTTATTATATTTATTGTAAGCCCCCACCCATGACACTACACCCGTGCTGTAGCTCCTGCTGCATGTTCCTGTTCCTCTTTTCACATCAGTATGAAAGAGAGAGGGTGTCATGGATTTTGTTTCACAACCACATTCCTCTCTTTCGGAGCAACGTTGGAAGGAGCTGGTGACGGAGGTAAAAGCAGATTGCATTACTTCATGTTTACTGTTGATATAGTAACTGTCTAAATCTATAAAACAAAATATTGTATGGTAATTTTGTATTTCCCCTAAAAATATGGTGTAGTATATAATAGTATATAATGTGATCAGAGTGGAACGGGAGGAATGTGGTCTTTGTTTTCATCTCAAAACTTTAGTGTTAACTGAATGCATGTCGAAGTAGGTCTACATTCTTAAAAAATAAAGCAAAAGTGGAGGTTCTCAGCCTTTTTCTCCATAAGGCTCACCTATGTATCACTAGGAAGCATGAAGGCTCATGCAAAAACAAAACTCATCTTTTTTTTGCTCAAAAATGTCATTTTTGGAGCAATTTTCAACACAGCGATGTTTCGGGCCATATCTAGGCACCTCACGATTCAATGAGATTACGATTCAGAGGCTGCGATGTGATTATAAAACGAAGCATCTTTTTTTCTATACAGGATTCCTTTTTTTCCCACTGTGTGAGGACTTGGTACTTTTAAAGCAAAGTATTTGTAATGATCCATAATGAATTTACTTCCAATATCGTTTATTAATAAAACAAATGGAAGTGATGAGGCGAGTCAACTGGAAGGCTCTCGTTCACTGCTCTTGTTTGGAGCACATGAGACGCTGCCGCCACTCATCTGTGATAAAATGTGATGTTATGGTGACATAAGATCCAGTGGTGATGGATGTCCACGCATCACGTTACAGTTGTACTAGCCGTTTTCTTCAGTGATTCCATTGACTGAGAACGGACGCAAATCCTTGGCAATAAAAGTTGAGACAGAGTTTGTAATTCGCTTCGCCCTTTCCGAGTTGAGTGGAAGCGCTTGCTCGGTGGCCCTCTGGTTGGCAGCAACTACAACCAGCCGTTTTTCTTCCTCCTCCGGATGAAAACGTGTAACATGGTTTCTCAGGTTTGTTGTGCTTCCAAAATATCTTTAGTTTAGTGTGACACAACTTGTATGTAGTGTGACTCTTGTACTTTTTCCCTTCAACTTCATAAAAGCCAAAGTGCTTCCATACGCTAGCTTTTAACGCAGAGGGTGTAGGTCGGATTTCTCTCTCATGCTCACTGTGAGTAACTTCACCAAACGCCATTTTCTCCCAGTAAACACAAAGCAGGAATTAAACCACAGAGCAGTTATTTTAGGTGTTTTGCTGGGCAGCTGTGGCCGCCAGACTGAAGGCTCCGCCATCGCTGTAACGCTGGATTCACACATGCTGCCTCTGCATGGTGAGAGTTACGCGCTGGCCTTTCATACATACAGTGTTTGAGCTGCGGAGCGGAGCAGCGAGACAGTTATACAGACACTCCTGTTTTCAGACGGATAAACGGTCACATCAGTCACTCTGCGCAATAGAAATATCATTTCTAAATGTTCACGGTAAATCTGTTTATCATGGGCAGCATTCTGACTTGTGATTGGGCAAAAGTTTCAAGCCTGGTGGACCAGCCGGGAAATCTGTTTTGCAGCACGGAATATTTAACTAATATTTCGTCATGAATTACATAAAAAAATCGCTTAGTTAAGTTTTTATATGGTCTTTTGTTTAATTTATCTTGATTTTCATGGCTTATTTGAGTGTATTTAGCTGCTCAGTGTATTTGGCGCTTCAGTGCGACGTCTGGGGCTTCTCACGCGCAGCCTGTTTGAAAGCACTGATCACTTAACATGGGCGGCAAAATGAAAAGCAAGACTTTCCTCTTACACTGTTCTCCAGAATCTAACATGAAATAAACTGCATATCAATGTGCTAAATCACAAACAGTATAACAGACAGCAATCATTGCCCCAGAAATTATAATGTTATTGAGTCAAATTGATAAACAGGCCAATCACAACTCCCATCTGAGCTGAAGTCTAGCCCAGGTGTTGACCATCTATAATGATGGATCACTTCTGGAGTCATTTTGTTTATAATGGACTGTGCATGATGGGCCCAGCTCATAATAAGCAAATGCTTATTTATAAATGTATATAAACTATAGAGAACATTAGGTGTGGTGTGGATGAGGACATGTGGCCTAATGCAGGTAGAGTCAGCATTTACAGTTTATATGACTTTTTTCTTTGCTAGATAATGTAAAGTAGTGGATTTTTAACTTTCTACTACTTTATTTGTTTCTATACAATCAAGATATTTATGTGATAATAGACAATTTAACTGCTGTTATTCAACCCAAATAGATACTTCCAATGAAACAACACAAAGCAAACGTCTAGTCTTTTTCAGTCATTTTTATTACAAAGTGCTATTGATGGCCCATTACAGACCACTTCCTCAGTACAGACCCACCAGAGGGCCCAGTGGTTGAGAAACCCTGCCTTAAAATGTTCCTTGACATGATGCATCACTGTGGATGAACCACTTTTGGTTCCTTAAAGAACTTCAGCGGATGATTCTTTAATGAACTATATTTGTAAACGATGTGTGAGTGTGAATAACCTCAACTACTATTTTGTAAGAACCTCCAAATAATGTAAAGGTACTATCCAGGACAGTATAGAACCTTATGTTTATATTGTGTGGAGGTTTGTTAAACTTCACAAGGTTCCTCATGCTTGCACAACTCATCAGCAAATGCTTTTTTTAAAAAAAAATAGTGTTTTGTCTGAAACATCACTCCAAAGAACCATTATGGATGCTTTATTTTTAAGAGGGTAGACCTGCTGTTAGCACTTCGGAATAAAGACCTTGAGCGCATTCCTCCCTCTGCACTACAATCAGACAATAGCCTTCCATGACCCTTGTTTGTGTTAGACTAATGTTTTCATCTTTTTCAGTGCTCTCAGAAGGCTGTTTGTGCTTAGTGTATACAGTTGTCTGCAGTCAGTCCATCATTACGTAAGTAACCCAACCCTGTCACATTCTTTGCAGTGCTAAATGAATGATTATAAAATATCACAAAATAAATCATTTCTCTTTTTTTTATCACAGGAAATGATTATTTCAGCAAACAATACAATGGCACATATTCTTTTCTCCCGTTCTCCATATCCTGGGTTTCATTTTCAACAGCGTGTGGCTGGAAAGATCAGACTGTCCGTCTTCCTCATCGCTGGAGAGTGTGTTGGTCTGCCAGCTCTGGTTTGGGCTCTGTGTGCCCTGCATCGTCATTCTAAGAGTGGAGGTCGACTTTCAGCCTTTATTATGATGCTCCTTCTCTGTGATCTGCTGGAGCTGCTTATGAGTCCATACATAGTGATGCAATTGTTGCAGAATGTTTTATGCTGGAAGACGAGCACGACATGCAGGGTATTTACCTCTTTATGGTCAGGATCAAAAATCTATGGCTTTCTCCTCCAACAAGTGGTGGCTCTAGAGGGCGCTCTCTCTTTGAGACATCCACTCTGCTCAGCTCAGGCTTTCTTTCCTTCTTGCTCCATCATCATCTCTGTCATTGCTTTTATTGGCTTCTTTCTCTGTGAGTTTTTCAGTACATCAGTTCTAATAGTCTTCAGTCTGCCACTTCTCTTAATTATAACACTGATATCATGTATAATCACTTGTAGAGCTCCACCCCAAATCAGCGACTCCCCTTACAGAACCAGGAAGCCGAGTTCTACAATACTGGCTTTTCTCACTTTTGCCATAATCTTACACGTGACCTTCGTCATCATATGGACTGTTATGAGGGATAACTGGGATCTGTGGGTGATGGGGGCTTCCCTGATGAGTTTGAGAGTGATCATAGACCCTCTGCTGTGTGTGTTGGTCTACAGAAAGAATCTCTGGGTTCAGGAAACACGTGCACATGTAGAGGACCGCACGTACACAGAGCTGACTGAGATACAGAGCTCAGACACCCCAAACACACACAGCTAGTGTTGCCCCACCACCCACAGCAGAATGTTCGAGACCATCTAGATCTAAAACATCTTTATTTCTCTCCTGCTTTGACAACCTGCTGAATCTCTAAGACTGGGCTTCATCATCTCACACTATTAGCAGTGGAGGTGATTCAGTTCATGATGGCTGAAACAGAACAGATCTCATGTAGAATTACAACTAAAGAGCCAGAGGTCAGAAAACTTGAGGCCTAAACTTCATCAAAAAAGAACGACATGTTAAACAGATGATTGTGCATATGAGTTGCATTACTGAGGAGGGAGGGGTGTTGTCATGGTCTTTATCTCAAACCTGGGTTGTCAAAAAGATACGCAGTCTATATTACTGATGACATATTTTGAGATCCATATTTTGATGACATAGGGGAGAGCGGGGGAGTGGATTGGAATAATCATATTTTTATCCGAGTAACATGTACATCTCTGCTACAAATGAACACTTGAACTTTGTTTCTAGCTCCTACGGTTCAGGTGCAATTCCACCCAAAATGACGGGAGACTCAATCTTACAGTTCACCCCATAGGAGCGGTTAACTGAAACAGACAGAGGGTCAGTTTAACACCTGCTAGAAAAGTGTGATGAATCAGTGCGAACAAAGTTCATTCGATATAATTCTATGTTGTAAAAACCAACCATGTTGTCCAACCGCACTGCATTATATATTATCTCTCTATATATCTGCTATATAAGACAGACAGACAGATTAACTGATATATACACAAACGCATTAAATTATATATGAGACTGTGTGTCAAACAATGACAAATTTATCCTTTGTCCAGTGAAGGACAGCAACTAAAAAACATCACACATCAGTAAAATATGGAAGATTGTTTCTGAATAACTTTTCATTTTAAAATCTGTGTAAACATGTGGAACAAAAATGTACTTTATTTGTTATTGTTTACTAAAGGTGGCTTAGTTGTGACACTGTGTTAGAACTAACCCCTCAGTACGGAGGCTGTACTTTAAGCCTAACTAGCGCTTGCTGTGAGCGTGTCATCTGCTCCAAAACGGTGCTGCGTTGTAGGAAACAAGATGCTGATTAAAGTGATATAAGGTTGAATTTTGTGGTTTACACAAACAGCTCAGTGACCGAATAATCTGTTGAAAAAATGACTTACATGCCCTGAAAGCACTCTTTGGCACTCTCTTTATAACACTGACGAATCGCTCTGAATTTTGGTGGGAGACCGCGACCAGGAAATGTGTTGATGTGGCCAGAAGCTCACGCTGCTTGACCTTCTTTAACAACGTAAGAAGTCTGTGTTAATGTGTGCCCTGCATTAGGTTTTTCCCCACACTCCAGAGAATCACCCACTCCAGTGATATAATGCAACTGCTGCGAGGGAGGGTGCCCACCCAAGTGAAGCCTTTTATCACCTGAAGCAGACAGCTCATACAAAAGCACATTTCTGGCTATGGTGTTATGGAGAACTCATTTTGCCTCGTTCAGAATGACTGAAAAGCTTTTGGATGTCATAATGTTCCCATACATTTTAAACATAGAGTGAAAATAGGTAGCTGATGTTTCCTGTAGATGCAGTCAGCAATGTCAGGTTCTTTCATACACTTGGTAGCTATTATGTGTTTGAGGGGAAGTTGGGAGGATAGGGATCGCAAATTCTGCTGTACAACAGATGGGCTACAATCTGTAATTGTCCTGCACAAGGTAGGTGGACAGTCTGTAACTGTCCACCTACACAGAGGACCTGTAAAGTAGGCAGACCTTAAAGTTGTCACTGAGTGGAAGCACACAGTGGTGTTTGTATTTTTGTAAATATTGGAAAGATTACTAACAATTTTATTAATAACTTGTTTCATTATTGTCCCAAGTGGGTTCAGGTGATTCACTGTGTGTCTTATTTTCTTTGTTTGCTAAATGAAAAATAAAAAAAGATCAGTGAGATCCTTCGTTGAGCTGTTATTATTATTGTTATTATTATTATTATTATTATTATTATTATTATTATTAAGCAGAGAAAGGTGTCACTGACACATTCAGAGAAAGGTGTCATTGTGATACACATTCTTATACGTGACACATTAATGATGATTTTAATTGAAATATTAGCACGATAAAATGAAAATATCCCATAGTGATTCCAAGAGTGGATAAGAAGGATGAAGATGAAAATGGGTTAAATTAGCAAAAGCAAAATATTCCTTAACTGACACACAAAAAAATCATTCTTTACCTGAACTTGATTGAATTTCTACACAAATGATATGACTTCTATGGCTTTCAAAATATTTAAGTAGCTAATTAAGCTACTTAAATTGGCTAAACTTAATCTGCTATCACAGCTCATTACCACGACCCATATACTTACGTTGGTTCAAATTGTCTTTGTAGAGTTGGTTTAAGAGTGGTCAGTGTAGTCGCCCAGTGAGTTTAGAACCACACTGAGCAATAGAGAATGTGGTAACGAGGAGAGGTGAATAACCGAAAAATAGAAAGAACACACACACCTAATGGAAAATAGCCTAGGGGGAAAGACAACGCAGAGGAAAACAAGAGGAATGACACACTCAATATGCAAAAAAAATTTAACTACATGCTAATAATATATTTGAATACAAGAAATCATCAGAAAAGTTCCCCTAACTCAGAATAGCTGATTGAGATGGTATATATGTCCAACAGACTTCATTTATTTGCGTGTGTCTCATGATACTAGGTGAAAATCCCATGAGACTTGGAAAAACCCAGTTCATTCTTTTTTATTTGACTTCATTGACTTTAGTTGATTTAACTGGTAGTTGATAGTTACATTCTCTCAAAGCTAACCTTAAGTACATGTGTCAATATATGTATATATACTCGCATTGGTTTGTTAACTAAAGCTACTTAAAGAAGATCAAACTACTGAAAAAAATATTGAATTGTCAATGTACAAGTGATACAAAATTATGACAAAATATTATACAAAAAACTCACACGCCACCAAAGTAATCAACACAACCGAGTTTATTGCAGTCCCACTTGTCCACAGGTCACACATATACCAAAAAATAAAAAAAAGAATACCCCACTATTCATGAATGTCATGATTTTCATGGCCCAACATTGTGTTTTAGTTTCAGTAGTTAACTACACAAAAAATGGCAAAAATGTAATTTAACTACTTGAATCACCATGTAATTATGAATGCAGTTATCTTATGCTAGCAGACCAGCTAGCATAAGATGAGCTATCTATGTTTTACATTCTTTTTCAGTGGCTTTTTACAGCAACGATAACTACTTTGACCACGTGTTGACCATAAACTAGACATGAAAGCAGTTCGAGTGTGTGAAAGCCAGCTAGCCAAGTTCGCTAATGTTAATTATTATTATTTGTTTTTATATTCCCAGGCCAACATTCCTTGCCCACACCACCCCCCCTTTTCCAGGGGACATAATTTTTTTAATTTGTTTTTTTATTTTTCACTACGCTATTAATGTCACAACTCATTGTTTATTAATGATCATATAGATATAAGGTGACGTGGTCCCACAACCCCCCAACACCCCTCCAAACACCACCCCCTACCCCCTCACCCACCCCCTGCTTTGAGTGAAACAAAAAACAGAAATAGGACACAAAACAGTTAACAGTGGCTCGTTAGCCTCGTTTCTGAATATGGAATATTTCTTTTGAAAGGTGGAATGCTTTATAAAACAGCAGATATATAGGGCCAAATGCTGAAATGAGAAAATAACACACTTCATTTTAATGAATTAATTATTTTCATTTGTAATGATAGAGATTTTGCCTCATGTAATCTGTTTTTATTGTACCACTGAGGGCAGAGATACCCAGAATTCTTTGAGGTTGTTTCTCTTAATGACCTGTTTTTCTCTTATTTTTTGTCAGTTCTCGTCATTGTAAACGTTTTTTGTGCTGCAACGTGTCATGCCCTTGCTAAAGCGTAGGTTTGGATACATTTAACATGTTTTTGTTTTGTTCACCACGATGGTGTTTAGTGTTGAAATTTACCAGAATAGCTCGCCCTGCTGTGATTAATATAAACAGGTGATGCTTTTAAACTTAATAATTGATGATTACTTTTTTTTTGAGTAGACAATCTTGAATGGTTTTGGGCTCTTGTCAGTTTATTGCATTTGAATCCTGATGATGTTGTAACAGCTGTGTCTGATCTACTCTTGAAGAACAGAGTGACAAAGTATGCAGAGAA